CACTCTCTCTCTCTTTCTTTTTCCATTTCTTCTCTTTTTCTCCCTCCATAATTCTCTTTCTCTCTCTCTCTCTTTCTCTCTCTCTCTCTCTCTCGCCCTCTCTCTCTCTCCCTCCCCCTATCCCTCTCTCTCCCTCCCTCTCTCTCTCTATCCCCCCCTCTCTCTCACACATACAAATGCGTGTTCCCACCAGTTTCCCTCTCCCACCGCTCTAGAGAAAGCCTCGGAAGCCTGGGCTGCCTGCTACAACTTCTAGCTAGGTATTGAATATTTTAATGTTTTGTTTTTGACGTTCTGGCTTGTAGTCTCAAGAACCTGCAAGAACCTGCACTTTTTGCGCCTGCTCCACGAGTGGGCGTCAATATCTTCTCAAATCGACACCACGCTCAGTGAGGGCCGGCATGATCTAGACTTCTAATTTAAAAAAAAAAATTTTGTTGGCCGGCGATAAAACATTGTTTTAATTATAGAAGTACGTACAGTCAAACTTGTCTAAGACGATCGGCCGTTGCCGATAAAACCTTGTTTTAATTATAGAAGTACATACAGTTGAACTTGTCTAAGACGATCGGCCGTTGCCGATAAAACATTGTTAATAATTATAGAAGTACGTACAGTCACACTTGTCTAAGACGATCGGCCTTTGCCGAGGAGAAAAATGACGACGTCTTACACATGTCTTCTTTTTCTTGGACATTGTCATCATTAGGAAGAAAAATAGCAGTGGAAAGTGGTCGTTCGTACGGGTGCTTGTCTTGTACAGGTGGTCATTACAGGTGTGAAGTATTTGATCTTGGCGTCGCAAATTCCTGTAAATATCTCTGTTCTCGTTGCTGATGTAAGTAAGTTCTGTCTCTGTTCCTCCCTGTGGGTGAGCCAACTGCCAGTTGCGGGTGTTAGTTACAGTTCTTTCTGACCTTTCCTATATATTTTATTTAAAAATCTGATGGCAGAGTTAGGATTGTCGTGGTTTTGACGAAATGGGAACGGGACGAGGCGAATGTTGTTGTTCTTTTTTGTCTGTTTCTCGTTTGTTTGTTTGTTTGTCTTGTCTGTCTTCGTCCTTAACTTATCCATCACCCCCCCTCT